TTTTAGATATGATTTTTGCCCAAGAATTACTAAATAACCATAAGGAAACTTTGCAAAACACTGTAGTGGAAAAGTCACCAGAAGAAAGGTACCTTACACCCAGTACTTCTACATATAGTGAAGATTCACAGTCAAGCGAAGCATCTTGGTCTGATGCCGAAACACTATTGTTGATATCTTTATATCATGAATATCATGAAAATAAAGATGCCTTTACGAATGCAAAAAAACGGAAGCATGTTTGGGAAATAATAGCGGAGCAAATGTCTGCACATAATTATTTTGTAAGAAATTGGTAACATCGTAAATGATAAATGTGTAATATAATTCTTTTAGCGCAAACCCGAAAAGTTGGAAAGGAAGTGGACCAATTTACTACGGGTATACAGGTCTATAAAAGATAACAAGGGCCCCAAGAAAAGTGGAAGGGGGGCACAACATTATAAATATTATAACCATATTGACGAAATTATTGGCGATAAGCCATCACCTCTGAACCACAAGCTGTTATTAATGTAGGCATCAATAGAACAACAGTCCCTGGATTAGAGACACATGCAGATACTGACAAAGAAGAGAATATAGAGAGTGAAGGAACAAGCGGTACATCTACGCCAACACAATCAATTAATGAAACACCATTAAAGAAGCGTAAGGTATATAACTTGGCAACGGAAAGGTTGAAACAAAAAGAGGTGCGCCATAAGGAAAGAATGGAATTGGAAAAAGCAAAAATTAAACTAGAAGAAAAAAAAGTTACTTTATTGGAAAAATATTTAAAGATAATGGCAAACGAACAAGATTCACAATAAGTTTTTTTTTATGTTAAAAGAATTGATAAGTTTCTTAAGATTTATTTAGCTGTGTTTATGTTATTAGATATTAGTTTATTATATTATACAGTTTCCATAAATATATCGTCATTAAAATCTTTACGCATTTGGCATATATTGTGTAACACGCAAGATGCCCCTATACAATTTATTATGAAAATTGTCGTAAGATTATCAAATTTTTGAAGCCTCCTGAAACGACCTTTTAAATGACCATACGCATTTTCGACCACAATTCTAGTGCTAGAGTGCCGGTAATTAAAATCTTTATCATCATTACTTAGATGACCATTATCCTTTTTTGGAGTACTCAACCAGTCTAAAGCAGGGTATGCAGAATCTCCTATTAATTTGTATTTGCCATAAAACAAGTCTGCAGGATTTTCTGTTGCTGTTTTATATAAGGCAGAACGTCGAAAAACCCTAGCATCATGCATAGATCCAGGCTCTCCTACATAAATGCATATATATAAGAGAAGTATATGGATAACCGCCTATGATTGCAATGTGCAAATTGTTCGCCATAAAAGAGAGCTGCCCTATTCCTTAGTCCTGAACTCTGTATTTATGCGCAAACTCCCCAAGTAAATATTTACTTCTCTCCGCCTACTTTTAAGTAGCGCCAATTTCAAATTTCATAACCTATAACTCGAAAATAGGGTTAAAATTTTATTAAACCATTATTGTGTGCAATTACCATATGTAAACACAACCACGCACCATTCGGAAACTTCACCCAGACTTCTATTCGCTTCATGCAGGTTCATATTCACCACATTGGCCCCATTCCACCTGCCGACTCCTATCACTATTGTCTGATCCTGTGATGTCTTTAGATAAGTATACTAGCTGGCCGAGGCCCACCCTCCCAAGACCAATCGCCGCCGAAGCGTTTCTTACCTGTTGACTATATCGCTTCGATTCCCCTACTAGCATCTTCACCGATCAGCGACGACAATTTGAATCTTCCCTTTTTTGTGCCCTCAACATTGTTTTCGGCACACAAGGATTCGGGACCTGCAGTCAATGGCCTACTTGAATGATTTCACTGCCAACTCAAATCAGCGCTCACGTGCCACCCAGTGTGTTCTGGTTCAAGGTACTCCGTATCGTTCTGCTTGGAAACTGTAGCATTTTCAAGGAGAACTTTCGAGCTTCCTCAGCGGAGTTTGTTTACGGTTACACCCTTCAACTTCGAAGGCAAACTTTGTAACGATTTAGAAACTTAAATTGCAATTGAAATAATATACCTATAGGGATTATATCTTGAATATAACATGAAATTGGATAAGTTCGCATCAGCTATAATATAAAGTGATACATTACCAATGTTCAAAGAAACACAATTAAATTAAAGACATTTACTGATTTTAAAATAAAATTAACATTGTCGAGTTGGAAATCTTTTAGGTGTTAAGTGACCCCCATATAACTTCGTGCCCCCATCATGCTTGCGTGCATCCAAATCAATGCAGTCATAGCGGTTAAAATGACGAGAACACAACCTTGTTTTTACATCATCGAATTCCGATAGTTCACATGCTTGCAGTCACCGATTCTTGTTGCTTTTTTCACTTGGGAATCTAATAACAAGTACCAATGGCATAAATGAATTGATTGCAGATAATTGCATTGTAACTTACTTGTGCCATGAAACCGAAGAATCCACTTTCCCACAAGTACCTGCATTTCTTTATTTCTAAGTAATGAACACACTAAAATTGCCAAACATTAGGTATTCCTTTACAATTATTGTGTATCACTTACGTATACTGATTTATATAACTACGAAAGGCTTCTTTACTATTAAAATTAAACAAAAGTTCAATAACTCATAAACTAAACAAACAATTTAACCTCAATCCGTTATGTCAAACTGGAGTAAATGCTTGGTAAATAACACTACATAATAACACGCAAGCGCATTAGCGCTTAGTTCCCAACTAAGGACAGAAGTATATTTCCATCCACTAACGTTGGCGATAGGCGTGTCCACTCGTTTATCCATATACTTCTCTTATATATATGCATAAATGTCAATAAATACCATTTTGCTATTTACAACCCCTTGCATAATGATGCTATGGTATCCTTTCCTGTTACAATAATCTTCAGGGTGAACTTTAGGTCTATTAATTCTAAAATGGGTTCCATCTATGGCTCCAATTACATTACTTATATTTTTCTTTTTTTCAAAGCTTATAGATTCATCAACAGCTTTAACATCAGTAGGCCACTTTATATAGTCACCACTAATCCTAATAAGATATTCCGTAACAACTTTTTTGCGCGATCGGTCATTTCTGACTATTTACCATGTGTGTTTCCATGACAGTAGGTGGAATTTACCAGTTGCTATGATTACGACGACGCCAAAATTACTTACCGAACACAACAGAACAGCAAAAATACTTACCGACGCCTTTTTAAAAACAATCAATTCAAATTCAAAATCAACAGTCAAAGTCTTACATTACATTTAATTTTTATTTATTTATTGTTATATTAAAAGTACAGTTTGTGCTGTTGTTTCCAATATAAACAATACGTTCTTCATTAGAACCGGAAGCAATAGAGATGGTGTTTGAAGACGTGCTATGGTTTTGATTGACACATTCCAATTCACTGTTACTACCAGTACATAAAATTTTATTGGCAAATTCAATTTTGTTTTGTAGAGAATCTTCGACATAGCCTTCGGCCACCGTCGAAGACCTCCATCCACCATGCCTTTTTAAACCTAATACATCTACACCTTTATTAACCAAAAAAGTGGCTGAAGTGCGCCGAAATGCATGACCTGTATAATCGTTCGATCCTTCTAATTTCAAATATGTTGCAATTTTTGATGGCCATTTCCCAATCGTCCCTTTTCCAACTACTTGTTGACTGCATTTTCCGTTACGATAATTTAAGAACAGGTGTGCGGAAACTACGTTGGTGGGTCGAAGTTTAATGTATTTTCGATAAATTTCCAAATAGGAAACTTTGTCGTCCACTTGACTTGTTACAGTAAATGTCCGTTGGATATTTGTTTTCGAGTTGGGAATTTTTACTACAAGAAGGGCTCCATGGTCTTCAATATCTGCAACTTTCATGTTGTACAGCTCCTCTCTCCTGCAAGCCCCTGCCACGCCAAGAATCATAGCTACCTATAGATGCAACACAAATAATGGAGACACAAATTTTATAATTTAAACTTACTTTGTGGATAAGGAATATTTCATCGGGCGCCTCATTTAAAAATTTCACCATATCATTTTTCGTGAAGACTTGAGCTTTTTTTGGTCTATGACCAACATTTTTTCTTTTAAGATAAGCAATTAACGTGGAAAATGTCGAAATATTAATAGATTCATATAAAAATATTGTGCTCTTTAGCATGGAATATTCTGCCCATAAACTTCCTGGACTCTTCAGCTTATCACTTCGTTTAACGAAATAAGCCAACAGAACCTTCTCGGTAACACCTACATTTCTCTCACTGCACCACTGTTTAAAAATGTTGTACGTATTCTCGTACCGGATCCTTGACTTTTGTGGTATTACCGCCGAACATCCAATGTCCCATGCTTCTTCTATTTCGTCTATTAGATCGCTGTCGGAATCGCTCATAACTGAAGTATAAAAGCTAGAAAACTACAGACACAATTTGATGAATTTATTATTTTCAGTTTTGACAAATAACAAACTCGTTACCTAGTGATGTAAGTACCTATACAATACCACTTCGATCATTTCGATTTATTCCGCTCGTTCTTTTCTCAGTAAGTAGTATTTCTAATGATTGCATAATTTTTATTCCGATCGCGCAAAAAATGTTATAAGCACGTCGAACGTTAAGGGTTACCGTTCTCAGACAATAATTGGAGTCGTCGCTGCGCTCCTCCTCCAAACAATTGTCTTCGAACGGTAAAAATCCCTTACCGTTCTCCATACTTAATATACTATTACAGTACCATGTGCACAACTTAATGTGACATCAAACCTGTCCCCAATTTGTCGGAAAGTTTCAATGTTAGCCAAGTACCACACAGTCAATAACACTGCCTTGGTACTAGTAACACGAGGCCAACCACCCTGTTTGAGTGAGACATTAGGATCATAGCGTTCAATTAATGTGGAAATACTAGTTCGGTCCATTCTAAAATGACTTTTAAAGTCATCCACTGCATAATTCAGAACTATTGTTTCAACATAATCCTTAATTCTTATGTGATTGTCCCTTTCATCATCGTCACTACTATTACTACTTGAAGTACTCATTGCATCCATTGGGGTTAACAATTGATCCTAAAGGTGAAATAAACGATAGTCAGGAATGTAATAAATAATAATGGTTTGTTACCAAAACAAATTTGTTAATATCCATCTGGTTTATTTACTAACCTAACAAATAAAAAATGTCAGACGTGAATTACGTTCTTTTGCAACTGATTCTATCGCAAATAACCCAACCTTACAAAATCATGTTCTTTTGATTTTTTTACGTTCAGAAGTTGCGATCGGAACTGCACTGATCTGGATTCAAAATCCAAAAGCAAAAGAAAGCACCTATTATTTCAAGTTTTTATGGTCGGTTTCTCCAACATTATTTCTTACTTCACTTCGACTTAAGTTCAACGTTACTAAGCAATTGATTCATTTCGACCAAGCACGACCAAATAACACGGCGCTATAACTTAAGCCTTACTTAAGTTTTGTTGGAGAAACCCAGCAATCGTATAATAATAATAATAATAATAATAATAATAATAATAATAATAATTTATTAGACCTTTGTAGCTATTTTTACAATAGATAAGGCTAGTCACACAAAGAAAATCAATAGGTATAAAACACACACATTGTACAAATATTGGACAAACATTATTATTTAGATGACATTCAAGTACTCTTGGATTGTGTAACAACACTTTACAATGAGTAGGTCTTTGAGCACATTTTTGAAAGTGTTTGTGTTAGTGATATTCTTGATGTCAGGTGATAGTGCATTGTAAAGGTAACACCCTGCGTACTGGACCGACTTCTTGAATTTTGAGTGATGGCATTTCGGAAGATATAAATTATCTCCAGATCTAGTGGAATATTCATGGTTGTCACGGTTTCGTTTTAAAACTAGTCGGTGTTTATGAATGTACACTAAAATTTTTAACAAGTAAACTGACACAAAGGTTAAAAGTCTATTGTTTCTAAACGTGTCTCTACACGATTCGTTAAATTTTAGATTGTATATACGCCGGATTACTCGTTTTTGTAAGGTAAACACTCTACAAGCTTCTGTTGCTTGTATCCCCACACGATAATGTTGTAACTAAAAGCAGAATACACTTTGGCATAGTAAACTGAGAGTAACGCATTTTTGTCCAGGTAATTAGTTAAATTAAGGAAAAGATAGTGTAGTTTTTTTAATTTTGTACAGACGAGGTATAATCATAAGCTTTGAGTCTTTATTCACCGTGGCTTTGAGTTAGGTACTAATTCTGGCTCAACGTCATAAAGACATTACCGTGACATAATCTTTTCTTTTAACTTATTTAGTTCTAACATAAAATTCGTTGATTTAAAAAAAATTTGCAAATTAGGTTTTACATTAGTTTGCAAAACCAATGTTATAAAATGGAATGAATCAGCGTTTCTAAATTCTGCCGACGCCGCATTCTAACGCACGATTTTTTGCACACTACCTATTTCAAACTGCTAAGTACGGCGCTAAGCTTTACCTTTTTATTATTCGTTAAGTGGTTAGGTAATAGACACCTAACTTATTTTAATTGCACTCCTTCATTAATCCTGTGATTAGGCGAAATATAATTTGGGTATTCATACCAAAAGGGTGTATAAGTGTGCTGTGTTTGGATGTAAGAGCAATTATGATTCTACTAGAAAAAAAGATGATTTTTCAACACGTGTATCCGTCTTTAAAGCTCCTCGAGTAAGTTCAATATTTAATTATTAAAGACTAGAAGGAGTATTTAACATTACATTTCAGGGGATGATCGAAAGTTGGAAACTAGTAATACCAATTCCTAAAGACAAAATTAACGAAAACACCAGAGTTTGTGAGAAACATTTCGAACCACATTTTGTTGTAAGAGAAACTAGTGAAAACCCTTTACCAGATGGAACTATACTTAAAACGTGCAAGCCTCCCAGACTAACACCTAATGCTGTGCCAACAATATTCAACTTAGGTCCAGATTCACACCTCCAATTAAAACGGTTCTTGAAGGTACAATTCAAGATAGTGCGCTGTGCTGCGCATTGGGTCCTACAAGCCGTCAGGATAAAGACATACAAGACGTAGCTTCGCCAGATTCATCAATCACTCTGCACCAGGAAGTTAAAGCAAGTAGTAGCAGCATGTGTGATTCATTTGCTTTTACTTTGCAAGAAAACCCCCAGCAGACTACTTTGCCACATTCCATGTGGACATTTATTAAAAAAGAAGAAATTCTTACCTATGCTACCGCAATTTAAAATAAATAATACTTTCCAGAGAATGCTAACAAATTCTATTGGAACAGTATGCACGGCCGCTAGGGCGTAGGTTCTTAGCATAGATAAAAATGAGATAAGGGCGCCAGGGTCTTTAATCACTGTCACCAATTCAGTACTGCTTACCTGACCCAGGATAAGTCCATTAAAATCTCTAGTAATAAATAGATAAATAAATTACGCGGTGCTAAGATAGTAGTATTCTATTAAATTAACTTCGATACGATTCGAATACAGAATTAAATTAAAACAATAAGTACGTGAAATTGAGTTGAATATTTGATTTAACAAATTGACGCAAATGGAAATCTACGAATTCTGGAATAACTATAATAATTGTGGGTACTTATTTTAATTATGGTACCTGTGATAAAACCAAAAAAAACTGCAATAATTGTGCCGACGGAAGGGCCGTAGGTGTGAGTCGGGAGCGCTCGCAACCCGGTTCCCCAAACCAAGTTTTAAAATTAATAACTAAAATACTGTAATGCTGACTTGGTTTGACGATACCGCCTAAGGGAACACCCTAAATATACACGCAACCTTATAACGCGTTCAAGTAACTTTTGGAGCGACCTCGTAGATTCCCTGACAGAATTTTACTTCAAAATTTGACTCTAATTAGTGATAATAACTTAATAAAAAAAATGTATTCGTTCGATATAAGAAAGTTAAAGTTGATATTCGATGTTCGATAGTAAACGGAAATTCGGCGACTCCAATAGTTGGTGATAATAAATATAAAAGAGAGCTGACCTTAACTGAAGCTTAGCTTATCTTTGGGACGACAGCGGCCATTTTGATAAATTGGTAAAGGTGATAATGATAATCTTCTTGGCGTGCGGCATTTCCTGGGCAATTATCTTCAAGTAGAAACGGTGATAGGGTACGTCTAATTTTCGGACGAACTCCTTTATATACGATTCCAAATCAAAAGTAGGCGAAATCCCAAAATGGGAAAGAAAACGGAAAAATAAACAGGCCTAAAATAGTTATTGACGATAAAACCGCGTAATACAATAGAAATAATACCTGAGATAACGGGCGGCCTGCAGATATAAGTTGCTGTTTAAATCAATTAATTCTTGAGTTATCAAGTCTTCTAAGACAATGCTAATTAGATACTTCTAACTACCTTTACTAAGGATAACTCAATTACTTTTATATTCGCACTCGATTAATATCAAAATGGATGCAACAACGACCAAGTGCGAAGCAACAATACCCAATTATTCCAATAATAGCGATCGGCGTTATCATTTATCGCCTTAAATTTTACTTTAAAACCTTAAACGACATCTAACAAATTTTGTATAAAGCCAGGTACTAAAATGCTATAGGAAATTGAAATTTGAACTGTAACACCTATTTTGAAGTTGTTTTGAAACAAGACATACAAGTCATAGAAAAGCAAGTGGCGATAAAGAAGTGAAACCGATAGTGATAATAAATAGTAAGAAAACTGACATAACAGGAAATATCAAAAATTTTGAAGAATTGGCTACTTTCTTGAAAGACGTGAATAGTTATGAAGCATGTCCTGGTTCAGGGAAAGAAGTGGAAAGGTGCAAAGGATACTACGCTAAGCCAGATCTTGATCAGACAAAAAATGTAAAAAGATGTAAATATTGTGCTGCGAAGAGACAATCAGATATTAGGTTAGAAAGAAGGCGAAGAGTAAAAAGGATAGCATTCAGGAAACAAACAAAAAAATTGCGATACGAAAAAAGAACGTTAACTAAAAAGGTATGTACTAAACGTTTAATATAAAAATTAGACAACACGATATATACATAACATCTTCTCAACAGGTCAAAAAACTAGAGGGAGTATTAGAAGCCATACAAAAGAAGTATGATGATATTAACGAATCACAAATTGAAGTGATCGTTAAGAAATTGCCTTCACGCCAACAGGAAGCAGTCAAAGTTTGCATTTCTGCAGCGCAAGCCAAAACACCTAATGGCCGGCGATATACTCAGCAGTGGGTGTACGAGTGTACATTGTTAAAAATAAAATCTCCAGCGCTCTACCGAAAAATGATAAGAGATCAGACACTTCCCTTGCCCTCAACAAGAACATTACAAAGATACATGAAAAACTAAAACCATCATTTGGTTTCCTTCCTGGAATCTTTGAGCTATTAAAACAGAAATGTAAAGTGATGGAAATCGATTAACGACATGGTAAGTAAAATAAGATGTGTAACAGATGAAATTCATTGTGTTCAATCCTCATTACAGGTTGCCTCATTTTTGATGAAATCAGTTTGTGTTCTGCACTAAATTTTAACAAAAATACACTGAAGATTGATGGGTTTGTAAATCTTGGAAATTATACTCCAGAAGAATTGACTGATCAGCCAGGCGACCATGCGCTCGTCTTTATGTTCAAACCGTGGAAAAAGACATGGTTTCAAACAATAGCGGCATTTCTAGGAAAGGGTGCATTGAAGGGACCACTTCTAGTAAAACTTGCTCTAGAGGCAACATGTTTACTAGAACAATGTGATCTTCATGTTGACATGTGGGTGTGTGATGGAGCTCCTTGGAACAGGAATATGTGGGCGGAGGTAGGCCTAAGCAACCCCTTTAGTCAAAGAAAAACAAAACAGGAGGGTATGAACATGATCGCTAATAAAGGTCGAACAAGCTTTCAACATCCTTGTGATGAAGATAGAAGAATCTATATGTGTTCAGATTTTCCACACTTAATTAAGTCATTGAAAAGCAGAATATTTCCAAACGAAAAAGGACTGGTTAAAGATGTAAGTACCAATGAAATTTATAGACCTATTTCATCACAAAATAATATCAAGTTTAGTTTATTTAACGCAATGACTAATTTATTGTTATTGATTTATTGCATTGCAGCTTGTAACTCCTGACGGAATAGTCAAATTTTCGCATTGGGTAGCACTTTATGAGGCAGATAATGTCAGAGGTAAACCTATTCAACGATGTCACAAGCTATCACGAGACCACCTATATCTCCCCAATTATCAAAAAATGAATGTAGGCATGGCATTCGGTGTAAGTTGATCATTTTTTTAAAATCAATGTTGCAGTACATATACATTAGCGAATGTATGGTTCCTTTTTTACATCTAAAATAGTTTTTTAGCAAAACTGTTGCTGATGCGATGGAAGCGTATCAGGAGGAGGGATATCCGAATTTGGAAGACAGCGCCCCAACTATAGCCTTCATTCGTAGAATTAATACTCTAATAGATGCTATGAACGCAAATACTCCATGGAATAGCATCAGACCGGGGGAAAGTGTTACGTATGAAGCTGATGCGTGCGAAAGTAAAGATGAGGACACTGTGCACAAATTTGAAACGAAAAAGTGTGCAAGAAAGGTATGAACAGTTTAATCTTTTTCTACATAAAATTTGTATAGGTAGTCAGCATCAGGTGTGTTGCTGCATCAATAATGATTTGTAAATTTGTACACAGAAACAAAGTAATATATTTTAAAGACACACATTTGCACAACAGGTTATAAACGAGTTTCTGGACTCTTTAGTGGAGATGTCTGAAATGCCCGTACCGCAGCACGCGAAGCTAGCTCATCAAACCCAATATGGTCTTTATGTGACTCTCTGCAGTGCATTGGAAGTGGCAGATTATCTTATTAATTGTTGTAAAGCGTAAACTTTACTTTAGTTCAATAGAATTATTTTAACCAGCTGTTAGGCAATGTCATGTTACATTCAATAATAACAAATATATATTGATGAACATTTATTCGAGGTCATTGACTGCCGCCATCATTGTACCGACTGTGTCTCCTGTCCCTAGTAGGGACTATACATATAATCATGACATCCTTTTTCTTTAAACAAAGTTATACAAACAAAACTTACAGAGATACTTAAATACTATACTATTCTACAACATAATCAGACAAATATTGGGGTTTCTTAACTACCCTTCCAGTTCGCGTTTTACAAGAAACTTCTGGCTTAATTAATGAACTTAATTCCTGACGAGATTCCTGATTATTACTATTTTCTGTCTTTTCAGGATTTTGAACTTGTTCACTATTTTGCATTAAGGTTACAGGTTCATCTACGCGAAATTGTGTTGACGCTTTATACATATTATGCCGATTTCTATCTACTATATTACCTGAAGGTAACTGTACTTGGTAAGAACGAGGTCTATCTGCTGGACCTATTACTTTTACCGGTGTCATATTATGAACTTTATCTCGAATGTGTACTATTTCTCCCTTTTCGAAAGACAATGGTTTTACATTATTTTTTCTATCATGAAAATACTTATATTTTTCTTGAGAATGTTTTAGTTTATCTCTGATAGACTGTTCATTTGTTAAAAAAAAATCTTCAGTGGTAGGTAGAAAGGCATTAATTTTATGTCCAAAAACCAATTCACTGGGGGACTTATTGATTTCGCTACTTATCGGTGTATTTCTGTACTCAATTAAGGCTATATATGGATCTAGTCCCGAGTCAACTGATTTTTTAAGCATATTTTTTATTGTTTGCACATATCTTTCCACCATGCCATTAGATCTAGCATAATAAGGACTTGAGGTTTGGTGCTGTAAACCCCATTCTCTAATAAAATCTTTAAATTTAAAACTTCTGAAAAATTGTGGTCCACCATCACTATAAATGATCTTTGGTTTTCCAAACAAAGAAAAAATTGACTTTAGTGCAACAATAACATTCTCAGTAGTTTCAGCACGTAATTCCTTAAAATCAACATACTTTGAATAATAATCGATCACTAGAACAAAGGTCTTATTCTGAAAATAAAATAAATCTACCCCTACTATCTCCCAGGGTCTATTCGGTATGTCTCTTAATAATAACTTTTCATGGCCATGTTTTCTTTGATATTTTAAACAAGAACTGCAATTTTTTACTACATCCTCAATTTCTTTAAACATGTGAGGCCAAAATAAAACACTTTTTGCCCTTAATTTGCATTTTTCAATTCCAAAGTGACTACAATGAATTAATTTTAACATTTTTGATCTTAAACTTTTTGGAACAACAACAGTTTCATTTCTAAAAAGCAAATCATTAATCACAAATAAGGTATCTCTAATGCTATAATAAAACTTTAACTGATTTGGTATTTTATCATATTTAGGCCATCCATGTTGAATGTATGTCATAACCGTTTGTAAATCAGTATCTGATTTTGTCTCTTGTCGAAATAATTCAATTTTATCATTTGAAAAAGACAAATTTTCCACTATCATACTAACATGCACATAAATCTCATCTTCAATTTCTTTCATCCCTAAGTCATCTTTTAAATATGACCTTGACAAAGCATCTGCTAACAGTAATTCTCTACCTGACTTATATCTAACATCTAAATCATATTTTTGCAATCTTAACCTTAATCTCTGTAATCTAAGAGGAGTTTCTGACAAAGGTTTTTTAAAAATATACTCCAACGGTCGATGGTCTGTTTCAACTAGTACTTTACGTCCGTAAACATATTGATGAAACCGTTCGCAACCATGTACAATGGCCAACAATTCCTTTTCAATCTGAGCCCAAGATTTTTGAGTATCAGTCAAAGCCTTGGAGGCATATGCTATAGGTAGTGAATCTTGCAACAAAACTGCTCCAAGCCCTTGGCTGCTACTATCTACTGACAATATGACATCTTTATTCACATCATAATATTTTAAAACTGGCTTTTCTGTCAAAAGTCTTTTAAGTTTTTGAAAGTCTGACCTTTCTTTATCAGTCCACATAAATTCAACATTATTTCTTAACAATTGTCTCATAGAAAAAGTTACATTCGTAAGGTTAGGTATAAACTTACTTACATACGTCACCATTCCTAGAACTGTTTGAAGTTGCTTCTTGTCCTTGGGATCGTCCATCTCCACAATGGCACGTACCTTGTCATAATCGGGTTTTAATCCTTCTTTTGAGAACACATGACCCACATATTTAACCTCACTCACTCCAAACTTGCACTTTAATTTATTAAACCGCACATTCGCTTGACGAGCACGATCTAACACTGCTTTTAACCGATTATAATGCTCCACTTCATCAACTGCATATATTAATATATCGTCGATATACACTTCCACTCCTTCAAGACCACTAAAAACTTGTTGGAACATCCTATGAAAGATTTCCGGACTTGAGCATAACCCATATGGTAACCTTTGGTAACAGTACCTTCCAAAATTGCCAGCATTAAACGTGGTTAGAAGTTGACACTCTTCTTTAAGTTTTATCTGGTAAAATCCTTTGTTTCCGTCCAAAATGGAAAATATTTTAGCACCTGACATTTTTGATGCTAACTGCTCGAACGATGGTATTTGGTAAATTTCTCTGATTACAGCTCTGTTCAAATTCTGAGGGTCCAAACATAACCTCAGTGAACCATCGGGCTTCTTGACGGTTACTAATGAGCTGCACCACTCCGTCGGTTCAGTCACACTTCTAATTATTCCATTTTTTACCATTCTCTCTAACTCGAGCTTAACTTTAGGTTGCAAGCTCAATGATATTCTTCTCAGTGGTTCTGTAACTGGTTCTATCTCACTTTTGAGTCTAATTTCGCAACTCTGCTTCATCTCACCGATGCCTTTGAATAAATCTTCATTTTGTTTAATTAAATACTCTACGTTGTTTTGTTCCACTGCATGTACTTTTTTCAGTAATTGGAACTTTTCTATAAACGGTAGTCCAATTATACAGGGTGCGTCTAAATCTACTACTTGGAAGTCCACATCATACTTTTTCTCCTTTATTCTGCATTCTAATGTTGTCTTACCCACGACATCAATTTTAGAATCATTATAGCTTTTTAACTTGACTTTACTTGGTCTTACATAGAGATTTAAATCCTTTGCAACTTTTAGGTTCAAGATATTAACATCAGCTCCCGTATCCACTTTACAATTAATGCTGTGCTTACCTACGTTAATTTTCTGAAACCACTCGCTAATGCCATTGACATACTTGACATTGTCTTCTTTCTTCTTCACCATCCCCACGAACATTTCATCTCCATCGGTTTCTTCCAACTCACTTGAGCTTTCCTGAACCTCATACACTTTTGCTTTCTTCGAGGAACTTGACGACACATTTGACGGACACATAACCGCAAAGTGGTTGTATTGCTTACACTTGTTGCACATCTTACGAAACGCTGGACACACTTTTCCATGCTTTAAGCCGCATGCTTTACACCTGCTTTGTTTTCCATGGTGGTCGTCCCTCGTCTCCTTTTTGTACTTTGGCTTCCTCGACACTGCATCAATCTTTGATCCACATTCTCCAATCTGTTTCGACTGCAAATTCGCCAGCTCAGCTGCTCTACACATATCCACACATTTCTTCAAGTCGAGCTCTGTCTCCCTAAGCAATGCATCTCTCACCTTATGATCTATTACACCACATACAATTCTATCACGTATCAAGCTATCCTTGACATCTCCAAAATTGCAACTTTGAGCCAACTTTTTCAGATCGGTCACGAAACTGTCTATACTCTCCCCATCTTTCTGTCGTCTGGTGTGAAACATATGCCTATTTATTGTTTCATTTTCCTTCGGCTTAAAGTAGACTTCAAGTTTTTTAAGTACTTCTTTCCAACTCTTTCTCTCTTCATCCGACAATTCTAATGTAGTGTAAATTTCATACACTTCTGAGCCAATACTATGTAATAGTATTGCCACTTTCTGCTCACTGGACACACTTGCCTTTACATCCAAGCCCGAAGCCAACATAAACATTTCAAACTGTTGCTTCCACTTTCTAAAATTTACTCCTACGTCTCCTTCCAAGCTCATCGGACTTGGTGGCTTTAAACCTTCCATTGTACAAGTATGGAATAAGTACTCGAAAACAACTCTAACCTAACTTCAGTAAAAACACAAAAGTTTTCACACCGTATTTTGGTTTTGGACACTACAGTCCTCGGCACACAATCGCACTTAACAATTTTTCGCGTTTATATAACTCACTCGCAGCGCCATGTCATGTTACATTCAATAATAACAAATATATATTGATGAACATTTATTCGAGGTCATTGACTGCCGCCATCATTGTACCGACTGTGTCTCCTGTCCCTAGTAGGGACTATACATACAGGGTGTTTTTTTGGGAGCTTTAGTTAAAAGTTTCTGGGAAAGTAAAATAGGTAGGTTTTTGAAAATTTGTACTTAGGAGTTACTCTGAAGGCCGAATCGATGTAAAATATTTTCAAAATGGCCGCACTTCCGGAAACACCGGAAGTAGATAGTAACTTCGTTATTTTAAATGGCAACCCCTATTTTTTATTGCATTTTTCGATTCTATGTGAAATTTCAGTTCTTTTGATACCCATATGTCGATATCTGCCATTTATGGTTTTTAAGTTATTTTGACTTTAAGAAAAAAAATGGCGGATGCAGATGGTACCTTGATAATTGATTACTTGAAAACGGTTGTAGTCATGGCAACCTATTTTTATCAGTGCATAGAGAATGAATAGGGCTTTCTTTTAGTGCACTTAAAAAAAAGTTAAGTTGCGTACGACCGCCCCTATGAATATCCAAATTTATGAAACTTCAAAGACTAAAAACTCAGTTTTTTTTAATGGAATGACCATGTTCTTACTATTCCATGAGATAGAGAATCGAAATGGGCATATTTTGAC